TCAGAGACATCAGAGATTTGAAGAGAAAAAATATGGTTTCAGGATTGCCTGAAATTGACATTCCAAATGAAGTATGTGAGGAATATGTGCAGGCGAAGCAACACAAGAATAGCTTCAGCAAGGATGCAGGAAGCAGATCAAAGGCTATTCTTGAAGTCATATACTCTGATGTATACGGACCAATCCAGGTGGATTCGATGGGAGGTAACAAATACTTTGCTACATTCATAGATGATTTCAGTCGAAAGCTATGGACTTACCTGATCAAGAAGAAAAGTGAAGTGATCGAAGTATTTGCCAAGTTTAAGTCTATTGTCGAAAGACAAAGCGGTCGAAAGCTCAAAGTTTTGAGAACTGATGGTGGTGGAGAATATGTGTCGAAAGACTTCGACAGGCTATATGAAAAGAAGGGATTATTCATGAGATGGTGCCATCCTATACTCCACAACAAAATGGAATTGCAGAAAGGAAGAATCGAACCATCATGAATATGGTACGAAGTATGTTGAAAGGCAAGAATTTACCTAAAGAGTTTTGAGATGGAAGAATGCAACTCAACTTCGACACCTGCAGAACCAAGACTGCAACTGTCGAAAGATACAAATGAAGATGATGTTGATCCAACCCAATACAGAAGACTTATTGTATCATTAAGATATCTTTGTCATGCAAGGCCTGACTTAGCATATAGTGTAGGTATGATAAGTAGATTCATGTTGAAGCCAAAGGTATCACATCTAGAAGCAGTGAAAAGGATACTAAGGTGTCTCAAAGGAACTTTCGATTATGGCATTTTGTTTCCTGCAGCTGATAAAAGAAAAGAATGCAAGTTAGTGGGATACACTGATTCGAGTTGGTGTAGTGATGCTGAAGATCGAAAGTCAACAGCAGGATATGTGTTTATGCTAGGTGGTGCACTAGTTGCTTGGAATTCAAGAAAGGAACCAGTAGTGGCATTATCATCATGCGGAGCAGAATACATAGCTGCTTCTCTTTGTGCATGTCAAACAACTTGGATGGTGAACTTAGTCGAAGAGATAACAGGGAAAGATCATGGAGCAATTACCATGAAGATCGACAACATGTCAGCTATTAATCTGTCAAAGAACCCAATAGCACATGGTCAAAGTAAGCACATCGAAATGAGGTTCCATTATCTTCGAGAGCAGGTAGCAGATGCAGAACTGCAAATCAGATTGCAGACATCATGACGAAGGGAGTGCAAGTCGAAGTACTCAGAAAGCTAAGAGCCATGATGAACATAGATAGTTTAGACACAATGAATTAGGTGGTGTGTTAAATTGTAATTCAGTGTGTCGAAACTATGTGTCGAAAAGATTTGATTTGTTTTAGATTTAAATAGATTTGATTTAAGTCTAGAATAGATTAGATTTGATTTAGTAACAAAATAGATATTTTGGGCTTTGGACTTAGGGTGTAAGCTCAGTTATAAATAGAGGGAGTAACCCCAATTTTTGTAATCAAGTCAAGCAAGCTATTCACAGTATTTTACAGTTGCAAAGTGAATAAGAAAGTTTTCACAGTTTGTGAGCAGAGAGAAAATCTGCAGAAACTATTTGTCTTGTCTTCTTTTCTTTGTTTGTCTCATAATTAAACTGTCATTGGAGTAGAAATTCATCATAGACTTTGGTGAGTTTCCAACAATTAATCGAAAATTAATCATTATGAAAAAATACAATCTAAATTTGAATAATATCACAATCTAATTTCACATTTCAATTCAAATGCTAACAAACTAAATTTGAATAATATCACATTCTAATTTCACATTTCAATTCAAATGCTAATAACTCAATAACACAACAACAAATTATAAACTCATGGTTCAATTGAACGAATTTATTCAATGCAAATGCAATTTCAGAATTTATGAATTCGATAAAATACAATCCCTAATCCATAATTACATAATTTTTGGTTAATTCAATTCAATTACATAATTCATTAATTTCATAGATACAAACCCTAATCTCCAATTACATAATTTTAGGGTAGGAATTCAAATTCATTTCAAAATTTTTGAATTTTATAAGATACAAACCTAATCCCCAAATTGATTATTTCTGTTAATATTTCTAATCAACTTCAACTTAAAATACAAATCCTTAAACCCAATTCAATAATTAAGTATAAAATGTAAAATCTAATTGAGTTTGGGAAAACATATACATTGGGATGGATATAAACAATTACCTGTGAAAGGAGACAACAACATAAAATCATTCTTTTGAACCATATACGATCCGGTGAAAAATGCAATCAATACAAATTACACAAACATTTTCTCTAAATGCTAAACATCGAACATGAACACAGGAAGAAGAAGAAGAAGAATGAAGCAGTCGAATAAGAAATTGTGTGGGAGGGAAGCGGTCGAATAGGAATTTCAGAAGAAAAAGAAGAATGAAGAAGTTCAAGAAGAACAAAGAAGAAGAAGAGTTATTTTTAATAAAAATTATTTTTAATTTGTAAAATATTATTAATTGAATAGGGACTGATATGAAATAATTAAAAGTTTTTTTTTAAAGTGGATCCACTGTAAAGTTACTCCACCATAAAGCTAATGTGGGTTAGGGCTGTTTTTTTTCTATTAGATGATTAAAGTGACTTTTTTGAAGAAGTCAATTGTGTGACTTCACCATAGAAGCTCCCTTATTTTAATCGTTGATTATTGAAAATCACGCAAGAGAAATAAGCATTATGTCTTCTAAGAATTATTATTATTATTATTATTATTATTATTATTATTATTATTATTATTATTATTATTATTATTATTATTATTATTATTATTATTATTATTATTATTATTATTATTATTATTATTATTAATAATTTATTTCGTAAAGTTTATATAGTTGTAACTAAAAAAATTCCTATGCAACACTTAAAATTTTAATTTATATTAAAATTAAAAATATTATTTTTATATTTTAATTTAAGTAAATTATTTTTTTGTTAAGAATAATAAATAATTGTTTTTTAAATGTTTGTTTTTAATAATTTAAGCACATAAAATATATCTTTTATTATTATATTAAATAAATTTTATAATATTTAGAGGAAATATAAAATAAAATATTATGATGTTTTTAGGGAATTTGGTGTCTAATTTTTATTTTATTTTTGAAATTTTTGTGTAACATTTGAAAAATGTATCCTTTTGTTAAGAATAACGTAATAATTTAAAATTGTTTCCAAAAGCATTTAAGGTGACATTTATCAATTATTGACAAAGATAAATTATAAAAACATTTGAAAATCGTTCTCAAATTATTTTAGGGAACAATTGTCAGGTGTTGCCATAATTGTCTTTGTAACATACAAAAATCGTTGTCAGAACTTTTTTTAAGCAACAACTTACATATGTTGCATAAAAAAATGTTGCTAGTTGTAGTGAAAAAAAAATCTGAATCAAATATATATAAGTATAGAAGTCATTTACCTATGAGAGGTAGTATCTATGTTAAAACTAAAGGGAGTGTTGTGACTTTTTAATAGAATTATGTATAAGTACAATTTAGTTTGCTCTTTATGTAAACATATATTATGAAATGTTGCGTGTAAGAAGAGAGGGCACAGATTGCTGCGTCAAATACCAGATAAAATTGCACAGGAAAAGTCCAAATTCAAAATATTACAATTGACTCAGTCAATATATTAAATTTGTTATGTATGGAATTGATCGGAGAAATTAAAAATAATGAAATAGTTTTCCAAATATACAAGGAACCTTAGAATTATGGGTGTGCAAAAAAACTAGTTTACACGAATCAATTTTAAAAATTCAGTGCACCAATTTTTATAATTCAATTTGTGTTGGATGTGAACCACATAAAACCAAATGTATATGATATTATTATTAATGAATAAGGTATTATTAAGGTGCAGGAATTTCAAATTCATATAAACCAGTTTATATAATATTCAAATTGAAAATGGAAAACCAATTTATATATTTTATTTTATTTATTATTAATTAGTTAATTTGAGTGGTGATTAGTTAAGGGAAGAAGAACTTATTAAGTTAATTGTGATGAACGATTGTTAATCTTAATTTGTGTTTTTTTTGTTTAACTTTTATGGTGTAACAATTGTTTTGAAGCAGATTTTGTCTTGGTTTTAGGATGTTTTGTTTTAGTTTTTTTGGTTTTAGTTTTAGTGTTCTGGTGCAACTTTATTATGGATTAAAGTGTAATATTTTTATTCTTGAATTGAATTTTACTTTATTTGCTTTTCAAAAAAATTGTGATAAACGATTTGTGAATTGAATTTTACTTTTTTGCTTTTCAAAAAAATTGTGATAAACGATTTGTGTTAGTGTTTGAATATAATAGTATAAAAATGACACATGCCTTTGTATCTTGTTCTCTTCATTAACTTGAATTTTTTTTTGTCTCTTCAAATTAAGAAAGATATAATTTCCTTATAAACAATTTTGATTGAAAACCGATTTAAATCGATTTTGAACCGAATTAAAACCATTTTGCAATTTTAAATTAGTTATTATAAAAAACGGTTTGGTTTTAAAACTAGAACCATTAAAATGGATTGGTTCTTAAAATTTGGTAACCATGCACACCACTACTTAGAATCGGAGCAAATTGTCAAGTCAAATAATAGATATAAACGAAGAAAAACTCACTACATGTTAAAGCATCAAATAGTGCTTTGCTTGTTATATAAAAGTCCATGTATGAAATCCATGTGTTTGAAATTAATACAAGAAATATCTAATCAAATTGCATAATCTACTATGACCCAATATTCAAATACCTCTCTTTGAATTTAAACAGTAAAGGACAAATTTATTTAGGAGTTGATCAAATAAGCGTCACTGTTAGCCTAACATAAGATAATCAAGTTCATTATAAAACACTTTCATTTATAATATTGCACTCCACTTTCTTTACTATAAGAACCCCCTAATTGTGTCTACAATTTCGTCTAAACTTCTCAGTTTAAAATATTAAGATACAATGGTGTTTGTGTGGTCTCTTGTTTTGTCACTCCACTTTCTTTTTCTTTATTCACTCTTGTCTTTCACATTTACTTCATCTTTTTCTTTAACTCACCCAAACTGTCGTCAATATGAAAGCCATGCCCTGTTGCAATTCAAGGAAGGCTTTAACATCAATATGACTGCTTCTTATAATCCACTCAGTTATCCTAAGACAGCGTCCTGGAATGCGAGTACCGATTGCTGCTCTTGGGATGGCATTAAATGTGATGAGCACACAAATCAAGTAGTGCTCATTGATCTTAGAAGTAGCCAACTCTATGGTAAAATGGATACAAATAGCACTCTCTTTCATCTTGTACACCTTTGAAATCTTGATCTTTCTGACAATGACTTTAGTTACTCTCAAATTCCACTCAAGATAGGCGAGCTTTCACAACTAAGATATCTGAATCTTTCACAGTCAGTTTTTATTGGCGAAATTCCACCACATGTTTCCCAATTATCCAAGTTGTTGCATCTTGATGTAGGGTACACTCGCGCAGCATATCTTAAAGGTAGTGATGTCAATCTGTTGACCCTCAAACAGTCGAGTCTCGAAAGCATAATTCACAATTTAACAAAACTTGAGATGCTCATGCTAAATTATGTGACAATTTCATCCTCTTTACCAGACAAACTCACAAATCTAACTTCCATGAAATCACTTTCTCTTTACAATTCTGAATTGTATGGTGAATTTCCGGTTGGAATATTTCATCTTCCAAACTTGAAATTTCTAGATTTGAGACTTAATCCAAATCTCGTTGGTAGGTTGCCCGAGTTTCAGTCTAGTTCACTCACCACATTAGCACTAGAGGAGACAGGTTTCTATGGTACATTGCCAGTATCCATTGGAAAACTTAGTTCTTTAAATAACTTAATAATTGATGGTAGCAATTTTTATGGGCATATTCCTTCTTCCCTCGGCAACCTCACACAACTCGTGCAAATAAACCTTCAACATAACAAATTTAGTGGTGACCCTTCAGCATCCCTGACAAATCTTACTAAACTGAGCAAATTGTCAGTTGGTTTTAATGAATTTAGTTTTGAGACAATCTCATGGATAGGTAAGCTCTCATCAATAACTGCCTTGGAGATATCCTCAGTCAATATTGGCAGTGACATCCCATTATCTTTTGCAAATCTCACCCGACTACAATATTTTATTGCAGATAATAGCAATCTAAAGGGTGAAATTCCATCTTGGATAATGAATCTAACAAATATTGTTATCTTGAGCCTATCCAAAAACGTTTTTCATGGAAAGCTAGAACTTGACACGTTTTTGAAGCTAAAAAAGCTGACTTATCTTAATTTATCACTCAACAAATTGTCATTGTACAACAGCAAAAATTTATCCCATATGACCAATTCTCCAATTCAAGTCTTACAACTAGTTTCATGCAACTTAGTTGAGATTCCAAGGTTTATAAGAGATCTTAATGACGTGGTATATCTTCTCTTGTCAAACAACAATATAACATCGCTACCTAATTGGTTAGGGAGAAAATCAAGTCTACAAATACTAAGTGTTCCCCACAATTCATTGACAGGCAAAATATCTCCATCCATATGCAATCTCAAATCACTCACCCATCTTGAATTATCGTTCAACAATTTAAGTGGTAATGTTCCCTCATGTATAAGTAACTTTAGCCAATATCTAGAAATTCTAGCATTACAGAGGAACAAATTGTCCGGTCTCATTCCTCAAACATATCTAAGGGGAAATACCCTTCAGATGATTGATTTCAGCAACAACAATTTTCTGGGCCAGTTGCCAAGAGCATTGGTCAACTGTGGATGGCTAGAGTACTTTGATATTAGCCATAACAATATCAACGATTCTTTTCCATTCTGGCTGGGAGATTTACCTGAGTTGAAGGTATTGGCTTTAAGTAACAATAAATTTCATGGAAACATTAGTTGCCCTAAAAACATGATATGCACATTTCCAAAGCTTCACATCATTGACCTGTCTCACAATGAGTTCTCTGGCAATTTTCCCACAGAAATGATCCAGAGTTGGAAAACAATGAAAACTTCCAACACAAGTCAATTACAGTACGAGGAAAATTCAATATTCTCTGCATCCAATAATCTAGAATACTCGGAGACAAGAAATATCTCTTATTCGTTTACAATGTCAAACAAAGGGATGATCATGGTTTATGATAAGCTTCAAGAGTTTTACAGGATGATAGCCATTGATATATCAAGCAACAAAATAAGTGGAGAGATACCAAAAGTCATAGGTGACTGGAAGAATCTTGTTTTGCTTAACTTGTCAAATAACAACCTTATTGGCAGCATACCATCTTCTTTAGGGAAGCTTTCAAACCTTGAAGCACTGGACCTTTCTTTCAACGGTCTTTCAGGAAAAATTCCTCAACAGTTGACACAACTCACCTTTCTGGGGTTCTTTAATGTGTCTTTCAACAATCTCACAGGTCCTATACCACAAAATCAGCAGTTTTCTACATTCCAAAGCAATTCATTTGAGGGTAACCAAGATTTGTGTGGAAATCCATTGTCAAAGAAGTGTATAGATCAGCCAAATCCTTCTGCCTCTGATGATGACCATGACTCAGAATCTTTTTTTGAAATTGAGTGGAAGGTAAGTCTAATTGGATATGTAGGTGGTCTTGTTGCTGGAGTGGCATTGGGAACCACTTACAGCTTACAAGTACTTGGATGGCTTAAAAGGTTCTTTTGACTTAAAAGAATCTTGAAAAGGATTCTCTTTATTTTGTATTTTGTTCTCATATGTTCTTGTTTCCTCTTACTGTGAGTTCTTATTGAACCAAGTTTGCTTTACAACCAACATAGTTGGTCAAGTTAGTCATATTTTAGTATGTTTTGGCTTTTCTTTAACTCAGTAGTTTGTTGCCCTGTCACCCATTTCCTTTTTCTCATATCATATTTCATAATCAATTTGAAATACAACTTTTCCTTCTTTCTCCTTCTTCCACAGGTACGTTTCTTCTCATTTTTGTTAGATAAATATTAGGAATCTGTTATATTTTGAATTAGTCTTTTATTAGTTCTGACTTAGTATTTATCAGCTGCTACTTTTTAGGATAGAGTTTGTTTTCAACTTCTCTACCCACGTTGCAAGTTGTAAAACGTGGGTCTTAGGTTTATTTCAGTTTCATGTAATTGGCTATATAATAGCCTCAGTTTATTGAATAAAGTACATCCCTTCAGTGCATTTTTTCTAAGCTTTCTGTTTTAACAATTGGTATCAGAGCTCCACAAGGGGCCTGATTCAAAGAGTGAGTAAAACACAGAAAAATGTCAACCTCAGAGAAGTTTGCGCAGCAGGCAATTCCAAAGTTCGATGGCCATTATGATTTCTGGGCTATGACAATGGAAAACTTTCTCAAAAGCAAGGAGATGTGGAGTCTGGTGGATGTAGGCGTCCCTGCACCAGCAATCGGTACAGCAGCAGCAAGCGAAGCCCAGAGGAAGGTCGTGGAGGAGGCCAAACTCAAAGATTTGAATGTCAAGAATTATCGTTTCCAGTCAATCGACAGAGAAATACTGGAAACAATCCTCGACAAAGGGACATCGAAGGCAATCTGGGATTCAATGAAGAAAAAATATCACGGGACCACAAAGGGGAAAAGGGCTCAGCTTCAAGCATTGAGAACAGAGTTCGAGCTGCTGAAGATGAAAGAAGGAGAAAAGGCAGACAGTTTTTTGGGACGAACTCTAGCTGTGGTTAACAAAATGAAATCAAATGGTGAGACAATGGAGCAAAGCACAGTGGCCAGCAAGGTACTTAGATCATTGACTTCTAAATTCAATTATGTTGTTTGTTCAATAGAGGAGTCAAATGATTTGAGCACCTTGAGTATTGATGAATTGCATGGAAGTCTACTGGTTCATGAACAAAGGATGCAGAGTTACCAAGAAGAAGCACAAGTGCTGAAAGTAACTCAGGAAGACAAGCCAAGCAGAGGCAGAGGTCGAGGTATGTTCAGAGGAGGACGTGGCAGAGGTAGAGGGAGACAATTCCTAAATAAAGCAACTGTTGAATGCTTTAAATGTCATAAGTTGGGACACTTCCAATATGATTGTCCTGACTGGGAAAAGAATGCAAACTATGTTGAGGAAGAGGAAGAACTTTTGTTGATGTCTTATGAAGTGTCTCACCAAACAAATAAAGAAGAGGTGTGGTTCCTCGACTCGGGCTGCAGCAATCATATGACGGGAAACAAAGATTGGTTCTCAGATTTGGAAGAAGGATGCAATCAAACTGTGAAGCTGGGAAATGATTCAAGGATGGCAGTAGCGGCAAAAGGAAGTATACGGATAAAATTAAATGGCGTAACTCAGGTAATATCTAATGTTTACTATATTCCTGAGCTCAAGAACAATTTGTTAAGCATAGGACAACTCCAAGAGAAAGGGTTAGCCATTTTAATTCAAGATAACACTTGCAAAGTATTTCATCCTAAGAAAGGGGTGATTATGCAAACTGAAATGAGTGGAAATAGAATGTTTTGTCTAACAGTTGCCAAGGCATCAAATGATTCCAAGTGCCTACAAGTTGAAGATGCATCAGAAAAGGAAGCTCACAAGTGGCATTGTCGCTTTGGCCACTTGAACCATAAGGGGCTTATAATGCTTTCTCACAAGAAGATGGTAACTGGCTTGCCTTCACTACAACTTCCAACGAAGATATGTCAAACATGTTTAACTGGAAAACAACATAGAGAGTCCACACCAAAGAGAAGCTCGTGGAGAGCATCAAATCAACTTCAGCTAGTACACTCAGATATTTGTGGCCCCATCAAACCAGCTTCAAACAGTGACAAGAGGTATATCCTGAGTTTTATTGATGACTTTACTCGTAAAACTTGGATTTATTTCTTACATGAGAAATCAGAAACTTTTGCTACATTCAAAAATTTCAAAAATCTTGTGGAAAAGCAAATGGGTGCACACATAACCTGTATAAGAACTGACAGAGGTGGTGAATTCACCTCAAATGAGTTTGAAATTTTTTTTTGGTATCTTGAGTTTAATTATGATGCATTAATTTCTGAAAACTTATGTTTTTGTTCCATTCGTTTTGATATAAGCGAACAACTTCTTCAATTGGAACGTGAGAAAGGAATTGTCATCAGATATATGATTGGCCATATGTAATATACTCGATATGATATTACCATTATTGTCTATGAGTCTTTGTAATAACCGATAAAAAATAAAAAATAACTAGTCATTATTATTAATTTTTATCTTAGGAAAGAAAATTTAATAGATAACTCTAATTGATTCCGAGATTCTAAATTCTTGATTCACTGTTCACAAGGATATTAAAGTTTAGGTTTAAGATTTAAGAATAGGGTTTTAATTCATAATTAGGGGACTCACTACAGTTTTAGTCGTATGTCTATGTATCCTCTTTTGAAGAATCACAGTCCAATTTCATAGTTTGTAGTGTTGGTCGGTGTTTTTATAGGATTGCATAGAATTTATTTCGAATTATCCTTGAACCTTGTCTAGGTTGTAAGTTGAGTGATCGTAGACGCTATTCGCAATTAATTTTGAAAGTAATTATACTTAATCATTTTTTCGAAAATGTCTTGGATTTTATTATGTTAGTAGAAAAATAGTTTGATAGTTGATTTACTATTTTAAAGTTTATTGATCGAGTATGGTAGGACTTAAAGTGAGGGGAGTCTAATAAAGTCTTCTCATCACATGACTAAAAATATTTGGTGAATTGCGTGAGTTTTGATATCTTTGTAAAATATTAAATTAATGATTAAAAAAAAGTGTTTAATACATATACAAAATTATTTTTGTCTTTTAGGTTAAGTTAGTAAATTAGATGATTCAATTAGTTAGCTATTGAATCAATAAAGAACAAGTTTTATTGTTTTTGATTTAAAAAAACTAAATAAATTTAATGACTTAATGACTAAACTAATAAAATCGTCAAATCTAATAAAATAAAATATTTTTTATATTTTTGCACTGAATGAGTCGAAGACCTATCTTTGTTTTTATTTTTTTTATCAAACTAACTAAATATACTAAATAAACTATCTTAGGTAAAAACAAATTAAATTAATTATATTACAAACCATAAAGGTGACACCTATTTTAATTATAACCTTAAAATAATAATAAAAAGAGTCCAATTGTTTATTGTTAGTAAAATGATCCATGAGTTTTCTAAACATGTAAATATTCAAATTTATCTTCCAAAACTCATTATCAATTTTTTCAATTTAAGTGAAAGTTAGGATTTACACTTACATTTAAATGTATTAGAATGTATATGATCAAATTAGAAGTGATGAACATTAAAAAGGTATTATGAATTAACGAGCCATTAAATTGAATTAACTATCTTAAGCTCAATTTTCATATAAAAAGGTATTATGAATTAACGAGCCATTAAATTGAAATTAAACAAATAATTATCAAATAATATATTCCTACAGTAGAAACAACCAATAAAGTTAAAAAAGACCACCATCATGTTTATCATTTGGTAAAATTTCTTAAAAGAAAAACAAAAGTGTGAGTGAAATTTATGGAACTGGGAGAATTGTGTTGTTGATGAGATTGTTCTTAGGCTGTTGTCTGATATAGTCAACAATCCTAAAATAAACCAAAAAGAATTGTAAAAGCAAGATAGCAAGTTTGTGGATGGTGTTGGAAATTTTTGGATGTCCTCAAACTCTAAAAATAGAGTGCTATAGAGTTGAGAAATTATGTTAAAGGAAAAAGGTGGAATAAAAATAAATCAGATGAAAATATTTTTAGTATTTATTATGATTTTTGCACTCAATTTTGATAAAAAAAAAACATAAAATCAAATAAATAAATATTTTTAAAAAATGAATTAAGTAAAAAACAAAAATAATATTTAAATAGTAACAAAACATGATTTTGGTGATTTTGAAAATAATTAGAAAATAGAAATAGTTAGTAACAAATAAACAAAAAAATATCCAAAATGCACCAAGTAAGATTTGAACTCTTGACCCTATGCTTCCAAGTTATTCTTCCTTATCAATTGTGTTATGTTTATTTATTTAAAATTATAAGTCAATTGAAAGTATATGAAGACGAACAATTATTTGTTATTTGAAATAAATTATTATATTTTTAAATTAACTTGAAAATGAATATTTATAAAACCCAAAATGTCAGGGTATGATAGTCTTGACTGCAGCACCAAAGCGGACAAATTTAAGATTCGATAGTCTTTATGAATATGAGAGTGAATAATATTTTTATTATTGATTGCAGGATGATTTTACACAAAATTTCTAATCAAGACGTCTCACTTGGCTCATGGTTCACCGGTCTTGAATTCGAGCGAACCCCTCTAGGTATAATATATATTCATGAAATACGTAATGAAGAAACACTCCATACAAAAATTAATTTATCAACTGAGATATACGCACACAAGAAGATTTTGTTAGTAAACTGTCTGGATACAAATTAGAGGTTAGATTTGTTTCTATCTCCTAGATTCATCACTCTGCATGCTTCCTGCCAGGATTTGGATTTTTTTTTTTTTTAATTTTTAAAAGGTTTGTGGACTGAAGTGGATTTATGGTAACCAGCGTTAGTAATTTTCATCCATCTGTAAGTTTATACCGTTTTTCAGTCACATAGTTTTTTCATTTGTGTTTGTAGTACATTTCAGGTTTCTGTTATATATTCAGTTTTTGAATATCA